AGCAGCGGGTTTTTAATCAATTTTTCATCCTCTTTTTAGATTCCAAACCCTAAGGTCCGACTTCTCTCTCACCCTGCTCACCTTCTCTCTTAGATTTGATCCACTTAGGGTGTGTCTCTACCCTAGATCCTTCATTAAAAAGAGTGTGTGAGTCGAGGGCTTCGTTTTAATCTGAATTGTTGGTAGTTTGGAGCACTTTGGAGTTTGGGTCTTCATCTCCATCTTCTCTTTTGGGGCTATTTCTTCGAGGTAGGGATTTCCTACTCCATTCTATAAGTTTTGTTCTAAGTTTTGGTATTTTGATATGTTGGGGATACTTTGGTAATTTTGGGAAAAACCCTAGTGGTAATAATAAATTAATTTGTATAATTAATTCTTGGAATTGGGAAAATATGGTTAAATTCATGAAATTGAGGAATTCTGTGGATTAGGAATAACTGAAACTAATAATATTGGTTGAGTCATTATTTTTGACTGTTGAATTAATACAGACATAATGTGTATTGATTGTGTGGTGTGTATGTTATGTGTTTACATACTTTGTTTTGTGTGGGAGGAGATAGGGGATGTACTCCACGGTTTAGGGGAAGATAGGGGATGGACCTCTAAACCGGATTTTGTTTGGGAGGAGATAGGGGATGGACTCCATTAGCATCACTTTTATGTGTGCTTATTTATATTGAAGTGTTTTATTGATACAACACTAAAATGTGTATCAAACTGGAAGTATGAAGTGTTTGATTTGAGCCTGAGTCTCAATTGTTTGTTGACATTGGAAGAATGTGAATATGATATATATATAGTTCATTGTTGTAAGTTTGACCAGGTTTTGAGCCATATTGATAATGTTGGAAAGTAAAACGTGTTTTAGACATTAGTGTCATGAGACTGTATAATGATGTAATTGGTTGTCTTGGTTAACCATCTATTAAATACTAATGCTTTATTCAATGCTTATATTTGGTTTAGTATATTTCTACTGGGCTGTGGCTCACCCTTTATGGGAACATCATTTTCAGGTCCAGGTAATAAGCTACCTCCCAGGACTTAGCTTGGAAGGATTTGGGTTTTGAAGACTATTTTCAGTTGTTTGCTTTTATTTGATAGTACATGTAAACACTCAAGCCTAGGGCTTTATTTGTATCTGAGTTAGAACTCATACTTTTGTGTCCAAGTGTTGGCTTGGAAAGATGTAAGCCCGTAGGGCATTTAATTTGATGTTACATGTAATATTTTTAGTTAGTAAGACTCTGATGAATGTTATAATGAATTGTTTCCTTTTTAACATTGCATGTTGATGATATATATATATTTAATGGGTTTATTTTTTTTGAGGGCGTTACAAAAAGATGTGGTGATGTCGCCTAACTAAAGGCGAGGAAATGTGTGTTGAGAGTATGAGACTCTCATTTTATTGTGACTCTGTGTGTAAGCCAATGGCTGTATGTGTGTGAATTTGAATAACCGTTTTGTGTAACTAGGCTCAAGCCTTAGAACTTGTAAACCCTTGGAGGTATTTATTTGTTTATTTACTTGTTTGTTGGATTAATGTATTGTTGCATGAAGAACTATTGTATCATGTAATGTAAGTTTGGAGATTTATATTTGTTTTTCCTTGAAAGAGTCATGATTGTTGTATTATCATTTGGGCTAAAAATTTGGGGCGTTACAGATTGTGTTCAACACAAGCCTTAACGTTTAAAGTTTCTGTAAACAATTAATTCAGAATTTAATTTATATAATTATTTTCTAAATTATTTTTTTTGTTATTTATTTTAATTATACATTTAATTTACACGCCTTTGTGGGAATAACGCTATCATTGCTATTATAGATTTAAAGTTTTGTCATGATATATTTGCTATAAGGATCCTCATAAAATATATTTTTTCTTGTATCTCCAGTTTGTATTTCCTTAAATTTCTCAGTCCACCATAAATTACTTACAGTATGTTTGGTTTTATTTTCATAATTATTTTTTTAAATTTTTTCTAAAAAATTAAAAATTATTTTGATAAAAATAAATATTAAAAAATATTATTTTTGCAACCCCCCCGGCGTGGGGGCAACCCCTCCTCCAAAAAAAATAATAACTATATAAAAATGACTAGTATTTTTTATTTATTAATTTTTTTCACTAAATTAGATTTTAGCTTTTTTTTTCAAAAACTTTCATCAAATAGATTTTGAAAACTAAACTAAATAAAGACTTAATTTTTTTATATTTTTGATAAAAATTCAACCTCAAAGTTCTCTATTTATTCAAAGGGAACCTAAATAAGGAGCAATTTTTTTTTTTATTATGCTTAGATGAATGTACTAGCATAATGATTTGAAATAAACCCCAAAAGAAAGTCATATAAAAGAGCATCGATGTGGAAATTTTGGGAAAAGCATTGCTCACTAAAATCAATTCCTTTTGCAATGATTTTCTTGACCAGGTAAAGAGTTCTAGCAAAAAAGAAAATGATAAAGACTTGGCATTCTGATCATATCAGAAAATGCAAAACTTAACACCCGAATGATTTTACGTATACTTTTAAATATTAAAATCTTAGGTAGCGTTTAGTTTAATTTTAAAATTATGATTTAAGAATGGAGTTATATTTTGAGTTTATGAGTTGTTGAATCATGATTTAAAAAAAGAAAATTTATTTGGTAATAAATTTTGAAAAGAGTTTTGAATTGAATTTTAAATTTTTGAAATAAGTTTTGAAATAAAAAAAAAATTATTTGGTTATGAGTTTTGAAAAAAAATTTTAAAACTTAATTCAAAAACTTATAACTCATAACTAAACATACAACTCAAAACTCTATTAAAAATAAAATTCAAAACTTATAACCAAACTTTTTTTAAAGTTTAATTCAAAAAAATCACTCTTTTTAAAAATATTTTTTTATTTTTTAAAAATTACTGTGGCAAATTAATTTTTATTTTAATTTTTTTTGTTAATTTTAAATAAACGGCCAAATAATTTGTCATTTTGGTCTAATTTTTTTTTTCTATATTTAAAAAAATATCAAAAACAAATATAAATTTTTTGTTACAAATAATAGGTGACAATTGCAAAAAAAACAAAAAGCACTATTTTGGTCAACCGGCAGGACGTCTAGGAGGATGTTCGGGCGGACGACCGGATAGACCTAAAAATTGAAAAACTGTCCGGGAGGATATCCGGGCGGACGACTGGATATATCCAAAAATTTAAAAACTCTCTGGTTATCAAACATGTTGTGAAATGTGTTTTGAAATGTGGGATTGGAATCAATTCTTGAAAACTATATCCTAATAGAGGGTTAGCATATCAGGTGAAATAATGATTCCAGCCCTAAACCAAACACAACCTTATTTATTTGATTTCATATTCACTCTTAAATTTTTATATTATATCAATTTAATTCAATTGATTTGTGTGTTTAGAAATTAGATTGAAATCAAAATATAAAATAGTCCATTCACTCTCATCAAAATACTTGAACAGTTGATGTTTAATTTGAAATAATCTATCCCATTTTGAATGGACCATTTTACACATGATTTTTTTTTTTTTTTTAAATTTCTTAGTGAATGATATTAATTGGATTAAATTGACACATGAAACAAAACACAGGACCATTTGTATAATTTTCTCTAAAAAACAAACAATTGTCTTACATTTAATAGATTATAGTTATCAAGACAATAAGAATACAGAAACTAAATATATAACTTTACATAGAGAACAAATGAATGGATAAAATTTTAGAATAGTATGCTCATCAATAAATATTGTAATATTTTATTTATTCATAAATTTTTTGTAATCGATTTTGTATTTAATTTATGTGTTTCTCTCATTCCATAGTCATCGAATATATGGTTGGTTTTGAATCCAAGAGAATTTTTTCTAGATGACGTGAGAGAGAAATGCACTATTGTTCGTAAAATTCAAGATCCAGTCTCTCTTTGTCATGAAACTAATGACTTCAAATAGGTCCCCCACTGAGTAAAGTTCTTTGTAGGCTCTCCCAACAAGGATATTGTTGGAGTGACTTTGCTTGTTTATATAGTCTTCTTCCTCTTTCTATGTAATGCCATGTTTGGAGAGGCACCTGTTCTTATAACTTTCTTTCAGATTATTTTACACTGCTCCTTTCTAATGTAGTTAGGGCTGCAAACGAATCGAGCCGAGCCGAATTTTGCTAAGTTTAAGTTCGGCTCATTTACTTATCGAGCTCGTTTATTGAGCTCGAGCTCGGCTCGTTAATTTTAATGAAACTCGAGCTCGGCTCGGCTCGATAAATTTTTTTTAATATTATTTATATTATTTAAATATAAATATTTAAATAAAAAATATTATTTATATTATTTAATATATAAAAAATGTATTTATATTATTATTTATATATATATTTATATATTATTTAATATATAAATAATATATTTTTTATATAATTTAAATAAAGATAAACGAGCCGAGCTTATACGAGCTCGAGCTTGGCTCGTTTACTAAACGAGCCCAATATTCAAGCTCTTAACGAGTCGAGCCGAGCTTGTTCATGAACAACTCGGTTCATTTGCAGCCCTAAATATAGTATCAACAATTTAATTTCAGCAATTTTTTTTCTTCCTAAATATGACGGCATCTTCAAAACTTGATCGGAATGCTTTCTCTTCTATTTTTTTAAGAATTGCAGAACATTTAAATAGAATCGATAAGGTATGAAAAACAGATAAAAATAATAATCACAAATTGTAAAATCACATGCACATACAAAATTTATGTGGTTATATCATGGTCGATGGTAAAAAATAATTACAAAACAAGATATAGAAATAGTTGTCCCCTCCCATTACATATATATAGTATTAGGGCTACAACTGACAAATCTAAAAATTACCAAATCACTCTTATTCCATAATTCAGTGACCAGTATTAATCAGATGCACACTATCTCATCTCATGTCAGCAACACATGGCAATGAATATGTACTAAATGGAGTAAAATAACTGAAGAAAAATCACGAAAACAGAGTTCTATTTATTTATTTCTCTACTTGTGTGACATACCAAGATGGCATGATATAATAAATAAACCATATGAATTAACTCATATATAATTGGATAGATACTTACAAGCTAGAACCAAAAGAAGAAGTAACAAAGTTTTGAAAAATTGCTACATGATCAACTAATGCAAGGACCCAAAAAAAAAACCAAAAACAAAATAGAGTTGTGACATCTCAGACTTGCTCAGTATGTTGAGCTTGAGAAGAAGAGACCGGCTTTGCGAGGTACGTTGGATTCTCATCTCCGGCCATGATCACGACAATTTTTGGCTCCATCTCCGGTGGAGGCCTAACTGGTTTTTCTCCAGCATGAGTCGATGAATTTGAAGAAGAAGAAGAAGAAGATGATGATGATTTTTTGTAGGAGCAAGCTAGAATTACCAATGCAAAGGCAATGAGTCCAAGCATTACAGCTAGGCCGCTGAAGAGGTAAGGGATGGGTGAGTTCCATTGGTGGATACTGCCGTTTACGGTGGTGGTGGTGGTGGTGGTAGTGGTGGTTACTGGTCTCATCTCTTAATGCCTCTGTCTCTCTGTCTCTCAATTCTCTCTCTTGTTTTTTAGAGTGGAATGGAATGAGGTTGATGATGATTGTAATCTTTGTATTTATAGTAGAGATTAGAGAATTACACTTCCACAGACACAGGTGAATGGATTAGGACAAAGGGGTTGATTTCCTGAGTTTACTAAAATGCCCTTATAGATTGATTATAAAGGAAGAACCTTTATTAGGATTTGGGGTGAGTGCTTGTGTTCAAATGATATCCTTTTAAACTTGGATTATTTTTATAATTAAAAAATTCATACAGAATGATTTAACTCAATGTCAATATTTCATTTTAAAACTAATACTCATGAAAATAAATTTATTTATCATAATGATATAATCACATCATTTTTTTTTTATTTTTTGTATAAATAAAGTTTTTCTTAATCTTGGAAGTCTCTTCTTTCATTTGGGCTGTCAAATCTATCTTTTTATGAAAACTGACGTTGGGCAATAATAAAAAGGTAAAAATGTTGAGCTCTAGTTCATATGATCACAATTCATCTTATCTTATCTTTTTCCTTTATATTTATCACGTATTGTCATTTTATAAAAATTAGTGACAGATAGGAAGAGTGACAAATAATTATTCCACTTTGATTAATTTGGGTGAATATTATTTTGTAAATAAGTGAAAAGAATAAAAAGTGTTTTGAAATTGATAAAAAAGTATTTTGTATTTTTTTCCTTTATTTATCATTTTCTTGTGGCTTAAAACATCTTAACTAACCGGCTATTCAAGAATTTTTAAGATCTTATACTAGATATGAAAATTGATCTTATGTTATTGCGTTGGTAAATCATTGTGACCTTCAACAATATATTTTGTTTTTTTTTAATGAATTTTGTTAAAAGTTTAGGCAACAGACTAAATAGCTTAATGGTTGAACAACCTCTAAATGGATCACTATTTTTTGTTAACTTGTCAACTATAATGTTAGGAGAACTAATACTTCAAGGCTCCATCTTACAAACGCAATATCCCTTTTATGTTTCACAAGCAAAAACCAAACGAAACAAAACACAACACATGACCAAAACAAGGTGATGCATTCCTTTGAACAAACTATAGAAGATGCATATTGCAAGGGTGTTTTAGTCATTTTAACAATCACTATAAAGTATTTCATCAATTGCCATTCTTAAATAAAAGTAAAATGGTATTTTCACAAATTCGCATACTTTAAAAGATCCATGTTTATTGAGTGAAGCAACCAACAAGAAAAAGAGGAAGAATGTGTGTGAATATATCCCACTAATGGGCTTTTGCTTATCCAAGCAAAGGGCCCACTAAGCGTGTCCCTTCGACCCAAGTATTCGCAAAAAATGATATTCCCATTTTATCCATGAATAACATGTTTATTATTTTAGATATCAAACCCCTCCTTCATCTTTGTATTTGGACCATAAATTTGAATAGAAATTTAGAAAGAAAAATATGAGTGAAATGTAAGTAAAATATTTCTTCATATTTCATTTACCTTTTTCTTTATTTTTTTTTCTTCAAATTCTTATTTAATTTTCTTTTATCTTAACACAACTTTCGTAAACAGCAGTGTTAACTCCTAATATGTCTAGAAGTCTCGTTTCATTGAGAAATTATCACCCTTGAGTAGATACACAAAAATAGCAAATTAAACATGGAAAATAATATGTAAATAAAAGAAAATACTAAATTACTATTTTTATAATAGAAAAAAAATAACTCTAGATTAATGTGACAACTGCGTACTTTTGATCATAATAATATGTGATATGTTTTTAAATGAAAGAATCACAACAAATTACATCATTCTCTCTCTCTATATATATATTTTTTATTTGTATATCACCACTTATAAATAAAATTTTATATGAAAATTTTATCTATAATAATGTGGAAGTTATATTTTTTAAAATTAAGACTCCACAATGGTATATGTTTTTGGTTTAAAATAAAAGTATCACAAAGGCTATACAGTTTGTACAAGCATTTTGTTTAAATACTCGGTACGTATAATATTACTCATCGTTGCGGGAAATAGGACATCAGAGCAAACAGAGAAATTGGCATAATTTCGTGATGTCTAAAAGTGATCATGATATCATTCTTGTAACACCAAAATTAATGCATTACCAACTTTACAAGAAAACAAGCCAAACAAATGAAGTTAAGTAAGAACATGATGGACGTCCAAAATTTCTTGGGGGACAAAATTATGGTACACACTTTTTAAAAAGTGGGTATCAGATATATTTTATAATTAAAGAAAAAATAATATAATTTATATTGTTTTAATTATAACTAAAAAAATAAAATCATAATCAAATACCATATAACGGATAACTAAAAATTTTATGTGTCATAATTAAAATATCATTATAATTAAAGAAAATTTTTATCATAACTAAAAAAAAAAATATGACTAAGAGATCATATAGTGACTTATATTTGATAAGATATTCAATGTTCAATAATTTTTTTTCCTTTTATCGAGGGGTGGTGGGGTATTCACCCAAAAAAAGAGTGGTGGTAGGGGATCTATAAAGGATGTGTAGTAGTGCTCAATACTTGGTATCTATAGACGAGGTTACTTAAAGAACATGCTACAATATATAAGGATTTTTTAGGATTAATTTTTTTATTTTTAAAGTAAAAAATTTGTTGTAAAAAATATCTAAGAGATCAATTCTTGATGCTATAAGAGTTGTCACTAAAAAGTTGTTTTGAAAAATTAAAAAATAAAAAAAAACATTTTTATCGACAAATTTTTAAAAATATTATATATATATATATATGTGAGAGAGAGATAGAGAGAGAGAGAGATATGAGTTTAAGGTTTTGTTTGGAACAAGGGGTGGGGGAAAGAAAGAAGAAGAAAGAAATGATTGTACTCTCTTATTTAGGTGAAAAAAAGTATGTGATACATAGAGATATGCATGATTTTTTAATTTTATTTTAAAAGATAATTCTTGATATTATAAAAAAATATACAATCAATTAGTTGCTCACCAAATCTCGCTATATTTAGGCATAGTTTGGGAAGTTAGTTCTGGTGGGTTAGGAGCTAAAATATTCACAAAAAATAAATAGACTATTTTATCCATAAAAAATAAAACATCAAATCCAACCTATAATCATCACACTCCTCTCTTACAAAAAAAGTCAAAAAGCCAAAAAGCCTTTTCCAAACCAGGCTTTTTAACCCCAGGCTAAAAAAGCCAAAAAGCTAAAAAGCCAACCAATTTCCCAAACGGAGGCTTAGTGATATTTAAATTATATAAAATAGTACAGTTTTCTTTCTCTCTATTCTCGTGCTTTACCATTCTTCACCTAATTTACACATCAAACATGAAAAAAATTCTCACTCTCCTCATGTCTTATAATTTCTCATAAAATTACTCAATTCAAATGAATTGTAGAAGTTATTGTTAATGTATGATGATACAGTTTGTGATGGTAGAACGGGTCGGATTGATCCACGCTCCTTAAACCTATGTCCGAATGACCAAACCCACCGGAAGACCTGCACACGAGTTCAACGGAAAACAGGGAGTCCCCCGATGAACCCTTCGACGAACAAGTTAGAAAGAGGAGTGGAGTATAGAGTGAGATTAGAGATAGAAAGCTTAACCTTCTTCTTGTCTTCAACGTTTGCTTATATCCTCTGGTAATCATTTCGTTGTCTCTTCCGACCTGTCATCTTGGCCAAAAGTCTATGCTGTAGCTTACCTTGTTCAGGGTGAGGGCGTGCTGTCCCGACGGAAAGGGGTTATCGCAATAAATGCTGTAAGGGGCCTCATTAATGGCGATGTGGCGTAGCAATAACTTTACAGATCTTTGTCTGCTACAGTGGCTTGCCCTTCTCTTGCCATGTGTCTTGATGCCATTGGTTCTTATTGCTATGTGGGGGCTTCAGCAGTGCTGGACTTCATTAATTGAATTATGTATTGGGCCCTAAGTGGTGGGCCTGGGTTGTTCATAGTGGGCTGTAGTCTTTATGGGCCTACTCATGTCAGTAGTCCCCCATTCCTGAGTGCAGCTTTAGTCCAACGAAGGGAATAATGAAGAAAATAAGGGTTGTTAGAGACCAGCAGGATGGAGGCCGATCGATAGAAGTGACCGACCATGAGGAGGGTCGACCACGAAGGGTGGCTGAGTGGAGTCACCGACCATGAGGAGGGCCAACCGCGGAAGGTCGCTGAGTTGAAGGACCGACCATGAGAAGGGCCGACCACGAAGTGTGGCCGAATGGAGTGACCGACCATGAGGAGGGCCGACCGCGGAGGGTCGCCGAGTGAAGGGACCGACCACGAGGAGGGCCGACCGCGAAGGGGGAGGTAGCGGGGTGTGGGGCTCGAGGGGCGGCGGGTCATGTGGTGACTTAAAGTGGAAAAGACAGGGTAGGGGAAGGGGGCAGTGAATCGTGGCCGTACACGTGGCAAAATCACGTGGTGGGGAAGGTTAGGCGTTGGGCCAGAAGTGAAACGATAGGTCATTATGGGTATTGAAAAGACAGTTTTGGCGGATGGTTGAAAATTTTTCAAACTGGCGAAAATTAATTATGACCCCTAGAATACAGGCAAGCCTTGGGCTTTTGGTATTATACGTTTGACCTACCTTTTTTCAAAAACGTTGAGTGGAAGGACCGACCATGAGAAGGGCCGACCACGAAGTGTGGCCGAATGGAGTGACCGACCATGAGGAGGGCCGACCGCGGAGGGTCGCCGAGTGAAGGGACCGACCACGAGGAGGGCCGACCGCGAAGGGGGAGGTAGCGGGGTGTGGGGCTCGAGGGGCGGCGGGTCATGTGGTGACTTAAAGTGGAAAAGACAGGGTAGGGGAAGGGGGCAGTGAATCGTGGCCGTACACGTGGCAAAATCACGTGGTGGGGAAGGTTAGGCGTTGGGCCAGAAGTGAAACGATAGGTCATTATGGGTATTGAAAAGACAGTTTTGGCGGATGGTTGAAAATTTTTCAAACTGGCGAAAATTAATTATGACCCCTAGAATACAGGCAAGCCTTGGGCTTTTGGTATTATACGTTTGACCTACCTTTTT